AATACAAGTGAAATATAAAGTAGATGAGCAATAATACAAATCTAAATAGGCAGTAAAATCACAAATCTAAGGCACTTTAAAGCAGCAAGTGAAGGGAGCAAATAAAAATACAACAAGAACACGATATAATGCAGAGAGAATATATGCTGCATGAGAGCCGTGGAGTGTAAATACTCAGCAGTAGGTGTGCAATTGTGCATGTGCAAAATGAGTATGTAAACAGTACAGATAGAATTACACGAGGTAGATTCTGAGTCAGCTGTTTAGGAGTCTGATGGCAGAGGGAAAGAAAGAGTTTCTCAGTCTAGTGGTCCTGCATTTCACATTTCTGAGTCTCTGACCAGAGGGTAGGAGTATAAACAGTCTGTGCTGGGGGTGGGTGGGGTCCTTGAGGATGGAGGCAGCTTTCCTATGCACCCTGCGGTGGTAAATGCTCTGCAGAGACGGCAATGGGGTCCTGGTGATCTTCTCTGCAGTCTTTACCACTCTCTGCAGGCGCTTGTGGTCCATAGCAGTAGTGCTGCCATACCAGACAGTGATGCAGCTGGTCAAGATGCTATCGACGATGCGGCTGTAAAAGTTGCAAAAGATCCTAGGCAACATGCCAAACCTCCTCAGCCTCTTCAGGAAGTACAGCCACCGTTGGGCCTGCTTGACTGGCTGTGCGGTGTTAAGTGTCCAGGTGAGGTCCTCACTGATGTGGACTCCCAGGTATTTGAAACTGCTCACCCTCTCCACTTCGAGCCGCAGATGAACAGTGCCTGATGAGATCTCCTCTCCTTCCTCAGGTCCACTATCATCTCATTTGTCTTGTTCCTGTTGAGGCTGAGATTATTGTCCTTGCACCATGACACCAGACTTGTCACCTCCCTCCTGTAGGCTGCTTTGTCCCCGCCAGTGATGCAACCTATCACTGTGGTGTCGTCTGTGAACTTTAGGATAATGTTATCTTTGTGGGAGGTGACACAGTCGTGGGCGAACAGGGTGTACAGAATGGGACTGAGGACACATCACTGTTTTGATTGATTGATTGATTGATTTATTCTTTCAAACATGCAGAACAGAACAGAACAATGAACAAATGACAATAACACACATGATTACACATATCCAACCAATACTAATTCAAAATCAGTTTGCTTACACCTAATACATGTTTGAATGGAGTAGGAAGAAGTCAAACTTATCCAGTCCTACCCCATGACATCATATTATACAAATTTATGCAACATTGGCTGCAAGCAATATCACTACATAGATAAAGCAGATTGTTACTTATTCGTGCATATATCTTGTATAACACATACATTTATATTTATATTTAAACTCCTTAATTCTGGTACTATTTTTCATGTCCACAGTTAAGTTATTCCATAGTTTGACCCCACTTATAGAAATACAAAATCTTTTTTTGGTTGTTCGTATAGCATGAACTTTTAAATTTAAATGTCCCCTTAAGTTATACCCCCCTTCCCTTTCACCAAATAGCTTTTGGATTCCACCAGGCAATAAATTGTTCCTGGCCTTATACATAAACACAGCAGTCTTATACTCCACTAAATCAAAGAATTTTAGCAATTTAGACCTTATGAAAACTACATTTGTGTGATCCCTATACCCCATCTTGTGCACAACTCTTATCGCTCTCTTCTGTAATATGTACAATGGTTGAAGTGAACTCCTGTATGTATTTCCCCAGTTTTCAACACCATACTCCAAATATGGCAAAATCAATGAACAATACAAAATCCGCAATGCTTTAACGTCCAGCATATGTCTAACCCTTGCCAATATCGATATATTTTTAGCTATTTTATGCTGAACATGTCTAATATGAGATTTCCAGGATAATCTGTCATCAACCATTACCCCCAGAAATTTAATTTCATATACTCGTTCAATGTTGGCACCCCCAATTCTCAATTGAAGTTCATTATGTGGTCTACGGTTCCCAAATACCATATATTTAGTTTTCTCTAAATTCAAAGATAGTAAATTATTATCACACCATTTCTTTATCTTCCCAAATTCCTCTGAAACCCTTACAGAGAGTTGCTGTAAGTTTTCATCTGATGCCCAAATGGTAGTATCATCAGCAAACAAAACCATTTTAACAGTTTCAGAAACCTTACATATATCATTGATGTATAATATAAATAGTTTAGGTCCCAACACAGAACCCTGAGGCACTCCACACACAATGTTCAGCTCACTTGATTGATATTCACCCAACCTCACAAATTGACGCCTCTGTGTCAAATAACTTCTGATCCATTTCCCAACCAATCCTCTGATCCCATATTTCTCCAACTTATCCATTAATAGTTCATGATTAACTGTATCAAAAGCTTTTTTTAGGTCAATAAAAATCCCCATCGTATA